AAAGTGATCAACCCGTCAAGAAGTGTGCTTGGTTTTATAAAACTTGAATGAAATAGTGGAACATTGTTATTGCGAAACAATGTCCACTTTCATTCGGTTTAACATTTCACCCTTTTTCTTACACCCGAACTAATGAAATTAGCTACTCATTACAGAAAGTAAATGACGTAAATAAATGACGTAAAATAAATACATGAAAGTAAATAACGGAAAGTAAATGACTGAAAGTAAAGACGTAAAAGTAAATAACGGAAAATAAATGACGGAAAGTAAAGACGTAAAATAAATGACAATAATTAAAAGACAAGAAATGAAGAACAATAATTAAACTTAAAAGATTAGAMTAATATTAATAATATGRAAGAGTTTTTGAGAGCACAATCTTGGACTCAAGTTTCGTCCAAGTTGTGTATGGAAGGGATACCAAAACAATGGCCAAAGGCCTCCTTAAATACTAGTCAAGAAGGAAAAAGACAAAAAAATATAAAGCAAGTACCAAGTACATAAGTACAATAAGAGAAGACATTAAAAAGGGGCTTTCTTCTCCATCAAAAAGGGTCAACCAAAAAGTCTTTTCTCCATCTTGTCATCAGCTGCATATAGTCCAAAAACGAGGGCTTCTTCCATTCAGACTTCCTTCCAAGATATGGCTTAAGCATTAAGCCCCTCCTACAAAAGTCAAGATGCAGCCGGGCAATGCTGTTGGAATGCTGCAGCATCACAGTGCAGTGAACTGAGTCAAAAAATTGTTATCTACTCCAACTTGTTGTAAAAACAGATCCATTATCACAATTAGCTCCAAACATAATAAATGGAAAATAAAGAAGTAAAAATGACTCAAGGTTGGGATAAACTATGAAAATCTACCTAATAAGTATAAGAAATAGGTACTTTAAGCATGTAATAAACCATGCTTATCAGTCACACATAATCTCAAATGGCAATTGCCAATTTGGAGGCCGGATGATAGGGGCAGAAGTAAACATATCTTTCAACAAATCAAATGAACTCTTACATACCTCGTTGAAGACAAAGTCTACCTCTTTTTGTAGAAGCTCACAAAGTGGTCGAGTGATCTTCGAGAAGTCTTTAATGAAACGCCGGTAGAAACCTGTATGACCAAGAAAAAAACGAACCTCTCTAACACTCGAGGGGTAAGGCAAGGATTTTATGACATCGATCTTTGCCTTGTCAACCTCTATACCCCTTTCCGAGATAACATGACCAAGTACTATACCTTGGTTGACCATAAAGTGACATTTTTCATAATCTAAAACCAAATTAGTTTCAATTCACCTCTTTAAAATTTTGGTCAAGTTATTTAAGCATGAACTAAGCGAATCACCATAAACTGTGAAATCGTCCATAAAAACCTCAATAATGTTCTCTACATATTCTGAAAATATACTCACCATACATCATTGGAATGTCACCGGTGCATTACAAAGACCGAAAGGCATCCTCCTGTAGGTGAATGTACTAAAGGGGCAGGTGAACTTGGTCTTCTCTTGGTCCTCTCTCGCCACCGGTATCTGATGAAAACCTGAATAACCATCCAAAAAACAATAGTGACTACGATCGGCTAACCTTTCTAACATTTGGTCTATGAATGAAAGGGGAAAATGGTATTTTCTAGTTGATGAATTAAGCTTACGATAATCAATACATACCCTCCACCCGTTTTGAACACGGGTAGGCATTAACTCACCTTCGACATTCTCTACAACAGTAATGCCAATTTTCTTAGGACTACCTAGACCGGGCTTACCCACTTGCTGTCAGAGATTGGGTAGATCATATTAGCATCCAAAAGCTTGAGTATCTCCTTCTTGACAACTTCCATCATCGGTGGGTTCAACCTCCTTTGCACTTCTCGGAATGGCTTATACTCCTCCTCTAATAGAATCTTGTGCTGGCAAAGTGAGGGACTAAGGCCCTTGATGTCGACGATGGTCCATCCAATCGCCCTCTTGTGCTCCTTCAAAACATCCACAAGCTCTCTTTCCTCATTCGGTGATAGTGTGGCGGATATGATCACCGAAAGGGTCTTTTTATCTCCCAAATAGGCGTACTTCAGATGATGTGGTAGCGTCTTCAACTCTAGCTCGGGTGCCTGTTCAACAGAAGGCAAAAGTCTAGTGTGAGATATAGGAAAATCTATTTTAGAAACTTCATACCTTGGCTTTGGTGCTCGCCCTTTCTCCATCCAAGACACCAATTCTACAAAATCATCTTCAAGTTTGTACTCTTGGGCAAGCTTCTTCAAACTTCCATTCGTTAAATCCCTGTCTAGAATCACTTCTAACACATCCTCATTAAATAGATCAAACATAGTATTAGATAAGGACTCGATAATATTAACAAAGCATAAAGATGAAACATCACTCGGATATCGCATGGCATCATATATATTAAATTTAATCATCTCGCCATCGAATTCCATGGTCAAACTACCACTATGGACGTCTGTCATAGTCTTAGAGGTTTTCAAAAATAGTCTACTTAGCAAAAGCATACCGGCCTTGGAGGCATTTTTCTCCTCCATATTTATAACATAAAAATCTGCCGGAAAGACCAACTCATTGACTTGAACAAGCACGTCCTCTAATACCCCTTTAGGGTAGACAATAGACATATCCGCTAGTTGGATTACCACACCAGTTGGCTTGAGGGGCCCTACATCCAAAAATGAGTAAATGGCATATGGCGTAACATTAATTGATGCCCCCAAGTCCAACATGACTTGCTTTATCGAGACATTGCCTACCTTACAAGGTATGGTAAACATGCCTGGGTCTTTACAACTTGGTGGTAACTGTTTTTGCAAAACAGCGAACACATTTTGACTCATAGTTATCTTTTCATTACCCTTTAGTTTTCTTTTATTTGTACAAAGCTCTTTCAAAAACTTAGCATATCTAGGAACTTCCTTAATTGCATCTAATAAAGGGATGTTTACCTGAACTTTCCGGAATGTGTCAAGGATCTCTTTCTCTTCGCTCTCCCGCTTTGTCTTCTCGAACTGGCTCAGGAATGGCGGTGCTTGAACTATCACTTCAGGTGTCTTCTTCTTTGCCTCCTCTTCTTTGACATCCTTTGCACCCAAAGTGGATGTCTTGACCTTTAACTCTTCTTCTTCCTTGTGAACCTTTTCTTTCTTCTTCCTTCCAACCTCTTGAAGCTCCTTTCCGTTTCTCAAAGTGACGACACTCACATTTGCCTTCGGATTTGTCTCCGTTTGAGACCGCAATTTACCTTTGTTTGCTAATTGGCCAACGGTGGCCTGAAGGTCCTGAATACTCACTTGAGTTTCCTGTTGAAATTTCACCATGTTAGCAGCCATAGACTTGACTACATCCTCTAATGACATACCTAAGCTACTAGGAGCTTGAGGTGACACTTGATGTTGATGTTGGGCACTTGGCTGAAATGGTGCCTTCGGTTGATGTTGTTGCTGAAACCTGGCGGTGCTTGGAATTGTTGAGATTGAAATTGCTAAGGCAGCTGGAATGAACCTCTTTACTGAAATTGTTGACCTTGTCCTTGTCCTTGCCTCAGGGCATAACTCAGATTCGGATGTTGCCTCCAACCAGGGTTGTATGTGCTCGAAAGGGTCGGGAGCCCGGTTGCTTGAGTTCTGAAAGTTGCCACCCCCAATGGTGTTCACTTGCTCTTCTTCTTCATGAAAGTCGGACATGCATTGGTGGGGTGTGCTACTGATGAGCAAAATCCACATGCCTTGACTTGAGGCATATTACCCATGGTAAGCTGTTTCACAAGATTAATCAAATCAATTATTTTAGTTTCTAAAGATTTAACATGTACCTGACTAGCGCCTCGGCCAACGTCACTTCGTACTCCAAATTGCTTGGAGTTTTCTGCCATGGTGTCTATCAAAGTCCTCGCTTGAGTTGGCGTCTTGTTCACTATAGCTCCTCCGCTCGCGGCATCCATCATCTTTCTCTCCATTGGTAGCAAACCTTCATAAAAATATTGAATTAATAATTCATTAGAAATACCATGTTGAGGACAACTTACACAAAGGCGCTTGAAACGTTCCCAAAACTCGTATAATGACTCCATGTCCTTCTGCTTTATCCCACATATCTCTCTTCTAAGCCCGACGTCTTTGGATGTGGGAAAGTACTTGTCGAGGAATGCTCTCGCCATTTGCGCCCAAGTGGTGATGGATCCCCGTGGTAAGTAGAAAAGCCACTCCCTAGTTGTGTCAACTAAGGAGAATGGAAATGCCTTCAGCTTAAGATTCTCCACCGTCGTGCCTTGTGGCTTCATCCCCAAGCATACCATGTGGAACTAGGTCATGTGCTTGTATGGATCTTCGTTAGCTAAACCATGAGAACGAGGTAGTAAGTGTATTAAACCAGTTTTAAGTTCTGCACTTACCTCTTATGCCGGATAGGTGATGCAAAGAGGTTGCTCGGCGACGTTGGGTGCTGCCCGTTCCCTCAAAGTGCGTTCGGGATTCGCCATTTCCTCTTCTTCAGTCTTGATGACCGGTTCTTCTTTCTCAGAATGAGGTTTCTCTTCTTCTTCCTCCGTTTGGTCTTCTGAATCGGATGACAACTCAATATCTTTCCAAATATTGAGAACTGGTGAAGAACTAGACGCGTCTTTCTTATTTCGAAGCTTAGCTTGCTTTCTTAGCTTCTTTGCAGTTTTCTCAATTTCCGGATCAATTGACAATGGTGAATCTGCACAAAACGATCTTGGCAAAAATAGTTAAACTCGCCGAGTCCCCGGCAACGGTGCCAACCAGCTGGTGCTAAATGCGTAAGGTGACCACCCCACCCCATTTTAACTCTTATTTTATCATTGTTTTCCTCTACATCCCCTACACACCTGCGTGCATGCGTGCACGCACTCGCGCACGCACACACACACACACACACACACACACATATATATATATATATATAGAGAGAGAGAGAGAGGAACGTTCAAATAAAAACCACTCAATTTGTACAAACCGTGAAAACCACATTCAACCAATCATAATTTTTCATTTTGTTCATTTTTTTTGTAATTACGAGAGGTTGATTAACCATTTTTATTGTGAAGGGTATTAATCATGGATATTATCATCTTCATTATTTTAATTTTAGATAAATACATGAAACAGTTTCATTAAATATTATATGAAACAATTTCTTAACCATATATGAAACAAATTCATCAAAAAAAAGTATTATATGAAACAATTTAACAAGATTAAACAATTTCATTAAAAAAAATTCATAAGATTAAACAATGAAATTAACGTATGAAGGTGGTTTGTACGGTTTGTACAAATGAGGGTGGTTTTCATTTGATCGCTACTCTCTCTCTCTCTCTCTCTCTATATATATATATATATATATATATATATATAGGGGTCCATTCAAGGGGAACTGATTAATTTGTGATAACTGTGAGATCCAATCTCAACCACAAATCAATGGATAAATTAGGAAACTAATATTTTTGGTAGTTTGACTTTAAAATTATAATTAAAGGACATTTTAGGTATTTCAAATTTGTTATCTCTCCTCTCTCCTACCTCCGGCCTCCGATGAACACCATGCGTTACCCAAAATACACCAAAATACATACAATATGATACCAAAAATACACCAAGTAAACTTTGAGACCACTGTGATACCAACTATGGTACCACTGTGATACCAATTGTGGCGGGGATGGGGGAAGAGAGATAGGTAGTGAGGGGGTCACAGAGACATATTTGGGACTAGCTGTTGGGAATGCTCACAGGTGGGTGTTTAGTGGTCGATCATCAAATATGGCATCTTGGTTAGACAAGATGACCGAAGGAGGTCACCAGAGTGGTGGTGGGTGTCGAAGAAGGCCACCGGATTTGGTCCCTGCGTGTCCGTGTGTGTATATATATACATATATTAAAATAATTAAACTAATTAAAGTAAATTGGAATATTAAACTAATTAAAGTAAATTGAATAATCAACACACTTTATTAATTTATCATTGATTGACTCATATTAGAACTCACAGTACCACAAACTATCTAGTTCTCATTTGATTAAGCCATACATACATACATACATACATACATACATACATACATACATACATACATACATACATACATACATACATACATACATACATATATATATATATA